GAGGAGGAGAGAAGAACGGGGAAGAAGCAGGTAGGAAAAAGAAAGAAAACAAAAGGAGTGAGGGTAGACGTTCAACCGAAACCTGTCCCTGAGCTTTCTGGGGCTGCAAAAGCCTCCTCGACCCAAGATGTGGGGAATGCACCATAAGGCTGGGGCGCCTAAGTGCTTGGCTTCTTCCTGAACACCACTGTGTCAGGGCCAGTACTCCTGTTACTGCCTGAGCACCTCAGGCGAAACAGTATTACTTTACTAGGCCAAGGTCCTCCTCCTCCTGAGGCGGGGCTGGAGTCGCCATGCGCCATGGGGGGAGAAGTGGGCGCCTCCATATTGTTCCAGTCTGTGGGAGGCCTCCGAGGTCCCGGTGCTAGGGTTCGCCTCAGTGCGGACCTGCACTGGGTTAGAGGGCGGCTCCTTATCACGGGGACACCTCAGCAAGGCTTTACAGTCAGGGCCAGGCCGCGGGCATGGCGGAGGCCGCGGGCATGGCGGAAGCCGCGGCCGCTTCCTAACAACAAAGCGGCTTCTTCCAGGCAAAGCCACTCCCCACCTCCCCGCAGGCAAGAAGGTGACGCCAGGCAGAGGAAGGGCCTCCCGGGTCAATATTCAGCCACCTAACCTGGAATCCAGACGGATCCTTGGAAATCACCTTGAGTCCTCAGGACGCTGCCAGACGCACGAGGTTCAGACCCCGAGCTGGGCTTCTCGGCGGAAGTGGAGCAGAAACTTCCGGTTTTCCTTGCTGGGGTCTCCAGGGATAATCACACAGGCGCGAGTCCTTAAAGGGATACACAGTTTTGGAGTTAATGCCCCGTAAGTCCTCATCTTGACAACAAATGTACCTCCTCTTACTACTATGCTCCCGGATCTCAGCCTCCAAACCAAGCCCAGGCTTCACTCAGTACCTGCAGAGGGAATCGGCCCAGGTTGCCGGAATTTCTCGTGCCTGAGACTCGCGTCCCACAGCAGGGGTGGAGCTCTGTTAAATTTATTTTGCAGACAGGCTCTCCCATTAGCACTCATTTAATTTTCACCTATTCACTTGTCATTCATACGTATTTTCAGACTTGTTGGCCTTTTGGTATATACACCGTGGAATACTATTCAGCCATAAAGAAGATGTTCATGATTGGAAAGGTTGAGGACAGAGTCGATAACAGGAGGCTGTATTTGGTAAGTGCTTGTTGTGTGCATGCACTGCAATGTCAGACTGAACCTCATTAATACATGTAGTTAATATACATTAATCTTTTTTTTTTTTTTTTGGTACCCGGGATCGAACTCAGGAACTTGCACTTACGAGGCAGGCGGCAGAACCACTGAGCTAAATCCCCTGCCCAATATATATTAATCAAAACTAAAGTAAAATAAACATTTCTTAAAAATGTTTCACAATATACTCTTCATCATAACCCTCACAATTAATAATGCCCATCATAATCTATGCTTCAGCGAGTACCTGCTGAGTGTCAGGTACTATCCTCATTTGGATTGCCACCGAAATAAGTCTGAGATATGAATCTAACTTAGAAGGTTATTCTTATAAGCAAGAGTACAACATGGCACAGGGACAATGAGAAAGCGAATGAAAAAAGGGTTTAGTTTGTATGACTTCATTCTACTAAGGTGGCACGGGAATTGAGAAAACACTAAATGGAGAGTGTATAGAAGGGGCGATTCCTAGATGGGGCATAAAGGGTAGGGTACAAGCAAAACAAGGCAATGATTGACTCAAGAAATATCAAGAAAGACAAGAATGGCATTTTAGACTGTGACAAAGATAACCTAAATTTCTTCAAAGGGATAATGGTTACATAATAATGGTACACTCATTTCATAATACCATGCGGTAATTAAAAGCAACTTTGTAGGGCAGCATTTTTCAAACATCTTGGTCTCAAGACTCTTGTATTGTTAAAAAATTTTATGGACCTCCAATGAGCTTTTAAGATTATATTAATTGCTATTTACCACATAAGAAAATCAACTAAAAATAAAAAATAGTTATTTATTAATTCTCTTTTAATATAAGATTACTAAACCCATGACATGCGAACTTAAATAATTCTTTATGAATCAATATATTTTCAACGTGAAATACAATTAAGAAAGAAGATGTTATGGGCTGGGGATTTAGCTCAGTGGTGCTGCTGCCTGTCTCGCAAGCGCAAGGTCCTGAGTTTGATCCCTGGTACCAAAAGAAAGAAAATGTCATTGATTTACATTTTTTTCAAACATCTTTAATACTTAATAGAATAGACTTATATTTTTATATCTGCTTTTGCATTTCATCTGTAATAACATGCTCTTTTGGCTGACACATATGAAGAAAATTTAGCCTCTTACAAATATCTCATTGGAAGAAAGGAGAGGGTATTGTAATTACTTTTTCAAATAATTTTGGGTACTATTTAATACAATAACAAACTTTAACAAGCAGAGACATCTTAAAGGTAATTCTAATCTGAAAATTAGAACACGTTGTAAGAGCCATAGATTGTTTCCTGTTGTGCACATTCATAGCAAAATACACCGCTTCACTACTGTTAATTAATATCACCTATTCATGAGAAACGGCCACAAGTATTGGTAACCTCTAAAACTTATTGTGGTGAACGTGAATTTTCAAAATGCCTAAGTTTTGCTTGAAATGTCAAATTTTATTGTTTGCAGTAACAACTATCATCACAATTTTCTCAAAATACCAAGTTCATTTCATGTACTTTTTAAAGGAAATTCCAACAAAATAATCACTATGTTTAACCATAATTTTCTCTCCATTGTTCAGTCAGACAAAAAAACAGTGCTGCAAGGAGTATAGTGTGAAGTGCAGTTTGTAATTCAAAGAGTCATCCAAATGCTTTTTCTGAAGATAACAATATTACTTCAGTATGTATTCGCCATACTTCCCTTTTTGTTACAAGCATATTTAAAAGACATGAGTTCAGGGATATCGAGTTAACTAAATAAATAATGTTTACTTCGTAAAGTAAATTTTTTTTTTTTTTTTTTTGGTACTTGGGATTGAACTCAGGTCCTTGCACTTGCCAGTCACCAGAACCACTGAGCTAAATCCCCGGCCCTGTAAGTAAATTCTTAAGTGAAACAATATTTATTAATTCAGAGTGTAAGGCACGAAAGAAAAGAACTCCATCTTGCAGTTTGATATCACTTCCTTGATTTGTACTAAAACATCAGCAATTTTATTTAATATTGGTTTTCTACCATCAGCCAACACTAAGAGAGTAAAAAAATATGTTTTTGACCTTGGCAGATCCCCTGCAAGTTTCGCGGGGAAACTTACATGTGTATGGACTACAACGGCTATATGTATTTCCAAATTATCCCTCCAAAATGTGAGAAAATAGGGCCTTTGTTCTCTTATTTATAGTCCCATTGTTTCAAAGCTGATTTGGAGGTGTTTGTTGTTCTGTACTTCCTAACCTTTCCTTCTGCGTTAGTTTGGGTCTGCAGACACAGAGACAAGGTTGAATATGCAATGGATTTATTTAGCAAGAAAGTAAATGATGAGAACCTTCAAACTGTTTTCACATGTGATACCTATGGAGACAAAGAGGGTAAAAGAGAGGGTTGAGTAGAATGGGGCTTGGATTAGAGACCTCAAGACAGAGTCTTGCTGTGCAAGTCTCGTGTCCTGTCACAACAGACCTGCCTTAGCACCTCCACAACGTTCAGTCACAGGCTGGCCGAAGACTATGGGCAGCAAGATTTTGGCATGTGCACCCTGACAGATTCAGAAGGAAAATGGCTGGGGCCTTCTGTCCACCATGCTTACTGTGACAAAAAACTCCAAGTGACACATTTTCACAATCCCCATGTATGCCTTGCACCAAACCCATCCACTTTTCTGAGCAGGCTTTGGGATCATCATCAATTGTTACGGTTCTGTCTCCCTGAGAGTCAAGAACAAACAAGGATCTGTGAACAGACAGCAAACACTGCCACTGCATTTGATTTGGGGCCGTGACTGGTACTCGCCTTCTCCTTCCTTTCTTCACTATTCACGTTAGATTCCCCTTTCCTTTGCTAAAAAGATGCAAAGAATTTCTAGCTTCTAGGTGAGATGAAGTGATATGGATCAGAATATCAAAATATAGAGCTTTACTTGTTATGGCAATGATGTTAGGTGAGGTGTGTGTGTGTGTGTGTGTGTGTGTGTGTGTGTGTGCATGTGTGGTATCAACTACAATTCAATAAGAGCTTTGCAAAAAATTTCAACAGCTAATAATTAATATAGCTCATAGTTAATACTCTTCAAAAATATGTGAACAACATTAATTTAAACAAAGACCACTTGCTTTGAAAAATCTGACACTAAACTGGCTCAACATATCATAGTGAAGTTTCTCCATGTAGATAATGTAGGATCAAAGGCACTGGAATAGAACAGCTTAAAACTTTGGAGGTGGCTCCTACTCTCCAAGTATCAAATATTGCAAGATATTTCAAAGCACTTTGATAATATCAGACTGATACCTTCTACTAGGTAATTCCATAGGCATGGTATCTTATTAAGCCTTAACCTTTCCTTTATAAAGAAATATGAAAACTTACAGCTAAAGCCTCATTAATAACAGTTGTTAGCTGGCATTCGGTATATGCCTACTGGTTCCCGCTGTTTCTTGAGAAGTAAATATAATCCTGCAGCACCTAATTTTCCCATGAGCCTGTCATCAGGCCTCATCTACAGATCCCCAAGGATAGTTAGTTTTTAACCACTTCTTTGATTTTATTTTCAGTACCTTTATTTCATAAAAGAACCATTGCTTCCCATAAAAATTTTCTTCTTAAAGAGAACACCACCATTCTAACTCCTGGGGAAAAAGACAATTAAATCAGATTTCTAATAAGAGGCTGAAAATACCACCTCCTCCTCATCTTTTTTATACATCTAGAAATCAAGATGCAATAAGAAAAATGTGAAATTGTCCAAGTAATGCAGCAAGTTATTGGCAGAACTGGGATTAGATGGGGGCACCACCAAAATGCTTTCTGTAGACAAGGGAAAGATCCAATATTGGACACAATTTTTATCCAGAAAATTGAAAGCTAAAGGAAATGGGGAGCACTAACTGATGATGACAATGTTTGATAGAATTAGTGTGATTTCCCTCTAATTTGATTGGACTGCAACAAGGAAAATTTTAGAAATTCTATCTCTAGGCTTCGGTATGTTTAATGGCTTTGCCTCCCTCTGTATCGTCCCTGAAGATAGTTATGAAAGAAGTTTTATTTCTAATCTAATATGTACACATAAAAATGCTACCTGATATTGTATGTTATAAAAAAGATCATTGTTATGATAACAAAGTATATTTAGTGTAATTTAGTTGCCTACCCTCTGCACACATGCCAAGATAACTTTTTAAATGTGTTTTTACTGGTATATAAAAACATAAAAATGTATGTATTGTGTGATATTTCAATACATGCATGTATTTCATGATATGTAAATTGGGTCAAATATATTTATCTCTGCAAAAGTTTATCATTTCTTCAAGATGAAATCTTTCAAATTCCTTTCTTCTAAATTTTTTAAATGCACAGTATATTCCTGCAAGCTAGAGTCATCCTATTGTTCAATAAATAGCACCTCAGAACGTATTTCTCCTGTATAACTATACTTCAATAATTTTTTATTAATATTTTCCCATCCCTTCTTCACTGCAACTTTACCCACGCTCTAGTATTCAC